GGGGGGGGGGCTGCAATTTAGTCGTCACAGTCAGGCAGTGAGTGGTACTGGCACACCATCTCACATTCCTTTCTTAAAATATATAATTTCTTATCAGTTTAAGAAACTCAAAAGAAGAAGATTCCTAAATTATAGTTGTTAAGTAGTTTGGCGCGTCTAAAAAAAAACATTATTTTTTAAAACATTTATTCAAAGTAGTGACGCTTCAGTTCATGTCCCACCCGTCATGCAACTTTTCCCCACGGAGCATATTCCATGTCACATTCAACATGTGATAGTTCACATGTCATAACTCTTGTGGGCCAAAGCGCGGCGCGTGAGCCTTTGTGACCCTTTGGCTGTGGGCCCCAAAGTTAAACTATCAACTTTGAAAGCAGTTGTGGGTGTGTGTGTGTGGGGGGGGGGTGTTTGGTGTTATCCTGAAAAAGTATAAAGTTTCTTTCAAAAACTCACAGCAGCTCGGTCTGTCAGAGTTGCGATTGCACAGCTCAAGTGTCAACTCTTGATTCCAATGTCACATCTTCGTTCAAATGTCACATATTTTTTTTAAAAATGTCACGTCTCCATTCAAGTGTCACATCTTCATTCAAATTTCCAATCTTCTTGCCACATTATTTTTTTTTTTTTTTTACAAGCACATCATAAAATATGATCATCAAAGTCTTATTCACAAACATAGTTTTATTATAATAAAATTGTTTTTCTTGTCCATGTCACGTCTCCATTCAAGTGTCACATCTTCATTCAAATTTCCAATCTTCTTGCCACATTATTTTTTTTTTTTTTTTACAAGCACATCATAAAATATGATCATCAAAGTCTTATTCACAAGCATAGTTTTATTATAATAAAATTGTTTTTCTTGTCCAATCTGCAGAAGACGTTTACCTTCGACTAATGGCTTTCGGCCTCTTTAAAGGATGACACCCTCACTGTGATAAGGTGATCCGACTGCTTATTGGACAGGCTCAGGTATCTGATTAGAGGATGAAAGATTTTTTGTATAAATCAGTTAAATGCCTTTTTAAAACTAGTTTGTTTTACATTATAAAAACTATCAACTATTTAAGAAGGAAATAAAATAACGCAGTGCATTTGGTGCGCGATATTTTCTTTTGTTTTTCTCACTCAAAGCTGTGATCGGGAATTTTTTTTCTCGTGAAATCAGGGTCATCCTATTTTCTTCATCTTCCCTTTGACGAAAAAAACAACAACTGATTTCTGGGGGTTGGGGCTACACATTTGATCGAAAGTGTTGTCATTATCAACGAGTCTGTGCGCTAAGTTTTATCTCGATATGTTGACGAGAAGTGGGACAATTAGCTGTTCTAAGATATTGCAAACCCAATCAAAGAAGAAACACACGATCAAAAGAAAAGTTAATAAAAGGATTTTTTTTAAAAAGATTATTATTCGTTTTCGTTTTTTTTTAAAGCTATGTTAAAATATTTTGGCTGCTGTTTGTAAAACAAAAAAAAAAAAAAAAAAAAAAAAAAAAAAAAAAAAAAAAAAAAAAAAAAAAAAAAAATGAAATAATAACAAAATAAGATCAATAAGAATTTTATATTCATAATTTAAAAAAGAAATCTTTTTCTTATTATATCATTTTTAAGACACACTGAAAAATTGAAAAAATCAAAGAGTGAATTGAAGGTTACTCTTTAAAAAAATACTCATCATAGTTAAACAACATTTGATAATATGAGTACTCAAAATAAATCAAATATATACATTTTTTTTTTAGTTTTTAAGGATTTGAATGAATTAAGTACTTGTTCTTATTTTTTTTGCAATCCAAAATTTTAGTAAGCACCAAACGGACATGATATCGGGTGATACAGCTTCATAAAAATCATAGCAACGCCACGATTGCACGGACGCCCGAGGCATATGTCAACTATCATGTGATTGCCCACATATAACTAAATTACTAAGTTTTTTTCAGAACAAGATGACAATGCAACATAACTAAAAGTGCACTTAATCAGAAATAACGAAACGGCCAATCAGTATGCGCCAAAAGAACTGAATTTGTGTGTGGGTCGTGCATTACCACACGGCTCGCTTGACTGGCCTTTGGCTGGACTTGAAAACCAGACCACCAACTTGAGGTTTGCTCAGTTTAGACCATTTGGCCACCCAGTCAAGCAAAAACATCACCCCGGGTGGATGAGATTCGTTAACCTTGGTCGGCAACTCATCTAAGAGAAGGAAACTCTGAATTCAAAACCGGAGTTGGAGTCCCGTAAGGCGCAAACAATGACAATTCCTGCAACCCATCCCTGGTCGTCTTGACGTAGAGTCTTGCCACTGGATATGGTGGGCTCGGACGAGAGAGTGAGGTAGACGCCGTGCAATTCTTCTTCACTCTAAACAAAGTCACCCGCGCAAGTCATCAGTCACCAGACGACTTGATGGTCCTCGTCGATCCTCAACGGAAGAACAATATACCACACGGCTCATAGCCCCGGCCACCAAGTTGTCATGGTAGGAGCAGCGAAGATATGTTGCGAAGTTTTTGCTACAAATCAGTCTGTCGGTACAGCAAAATTATTAAAAACTGACTATTATTTTCGCCCGTACTTAAGTGTTAATGAAGGGGGGGACTGTGTTTCTTTTCTTTTTGCTGTTGTTGTTGGAAATGATCATAACAATTCAAAGATAGATTGAAAAAAACTGGCTCCAAGCAATACATTTATAGGCTGTATGTTGTTACAAAGTTTCGCCTTTACGGAAGTGCACGGTGTCAGCCGAAGATGAAGGCTGATCGACCAGTAAGTGTTTCGAGCTTGAGAATCATGCCCCCATGTTCTCCAGAGTGTGCTGCGCTCACCACTGAGAAGTCTACGAGGAACATGTTTCAAACTAAGCATCGGCAACTTTCGTAGAACGCCCGTTCGCCGTTTGTGTAAGGACAAAGGTGCACTGTCGTACCGGATGCAGGTTGGGCACCCTGCTGCGGAGCCAGGCACGCGAGCCAAGATGATGCATTGTGGACATTTCTGGCTATGGTGTAAGATGAATTTGATCAGGATTACGTGGTTCTGCAACGCAAAGTCACACTGACTTACAGGTTGATTAGACTTACCCATCCGCTTAGAGGGCTACATTTCCAGAAAGATGTTACTTTAGTGCTGACTTTTAACAAAAAATATCTCTCGGAATCATTGTTCAACCTGTTTTTAACTATGCTCACCGATTACGTTTCTTAACGCATGAGTCAAAATATTGCTGGAATATTTATGCGTTTTATTACGACTATTTAATACGAGACCCATTTCTAATCCCAACCACCCCCAAAAATAATCCTATTCAATTTTATGATCACGTGGCGGATGGAGATATTCTTATTGACAAACGCAAGAATGCGTTCAGCATGCGGCTGCTAAGTTGCTGCAGGTTTTTGCCGCGTGCGAGGGAGCCCGCTGGTTTTTAATACCATTATTTCTAGTCTAAGTCCTCCTGGCGTAACTGAAAGTTGACCAGCACTCCCGAGGTCATGAATGAAAGATTCCATACAGTGGACACACGTGCGTGACTAGTTGTAAAGGTAGTTATAAAGCTTAATATAAAAAAAAAACTTGGAATGGGTATTGGTAAATATCATTAAAATCTTCCAGGCCACGCTCTTGAGAATTTGGTGGAAAATGCGCTACACAGTGGAACGCTGATCTGCGGTAATTACGGCGTTGTTGATATTAAAACTCTTCATTGGTGGCACTATGATTTGCTTGAGAACCGCTAGCGATCCTATGGAATAGCCGACAGTTAAAACAAAATAAAGGATCAAAATAACTCTTCATGGATTAGCAGTATGTGCCGTTAAGCTTTATACCTATCCACAATATTAACACTTAATGGATAAGCAGAATGTGTAGGGGAACTGTATTCCAATTCACAATATTAGTGGATAAGCAGTCTGAACAGTTAAGCTTTATACCAATCCACAATTTTAACTCTTATTGGATAAGCATTATGTGTGGTGAAGCTGTATACTAATTTGCAATATTAACTTATAGTGGATAAGCAGTACGAGCAGTTAAGCCCCATACCAATCCACAATTTTAACTCTTGAATTGAATGGTATTGAATATTTGTATAACTCTTGTATCCATGCTATTTTAGCATGCCCACAGCGCTCTGATGTTCTTAAATCTATTTAAATAAAAAAAGTATTTAAATGTTTCTTAAATGATTTTTTTAATCATTTTCTATGTCCTTCAAAGATTGAGGCAAACTGTTCCATAATTTTTGTGCTAACGCTTCAAAAGAGCGCAAGACTTTTTCTTAATGGATAAGCAGTATAAGGAGTTAAGCTTTATACCAATGATGAACACTATTAACTCTTGATGGATAAGCAGTATGTGCAGTTAAGCTTTACACCAATGATGAACAATATTAACTCTTGATGTATACGCAGCTTGAGTAGTTAAGCTTTACACCAATGATGAACAATATTAACTCTTGATGGATAAGCAGCATGCGTAGTTAAGCTGTACACCAATGAACACTAGAGACCGACCGAAAGTGATTATCTGATTTCGGCCGAAGCCAAAAGTAGGCCGAAAGTTTAAAATGAATTTCGGCAGAAACCGAAAAAAGGCCGAAAGTTTAAAAATGAATTTCGGCCGAAACCGAAAAAATGCCGAAAGTTAAAAAGGAATTTCGGCCGAAACCGAAAATGCATACATTCTGCTTACATCGAAAATGTGGTGGGAAAGTATAAATAATTACATTCTTTTTATAAAAAATGAGATAATCGTGAATATTAAAAATAAACATCTAATATAGGGGTCTCAAACTCACGGCCCGCGAGCCATTTGTGACCGAAAGACGATATTTTGCGGCCCGCTACATGACAGAAAAGTTTAGTGTAAATGCGCCGGCCCGTTTCCCCCATTCTCATTTCTACAACGTGACTCTCCGCGACGGTTTCAGTCGAATCTCACCGACTAGTCTAATTCTGATTTTTTTAAAAATGTTTCTATATATTTTTGTATGCAACAGTGAGTAGGTGGATGAAAGTGAATCCTAGTTCTTGAGAACCCTTAATGATTTTATTGTTATTTATAAAGGTTGAGCAGATTGTAACAGTTGCGGTGAAGTGGCCGAACGCTTCTAGGCCACGGAGCAACACCACCAATAGTGGTGCCACATGGGATTTTGCCTCTTCGTGGCGTGGACGACTAGTAGGGGGGGTGACTCCCCAAAGCTAAAAAATCCCGAAGCTCGCATGACTTCCAACGCAACGGAAGGCCCGCACTAACATGATTACTGTTGCCGTTGATGGGTATGAGGCAATGGGTGGCCGCCCAAACCCTTGCCAATGATTAAAAAGACGCGGCCCTGAGAAAGCCGCCCCTAGGCGACCGTTTCGTCCCCGCTACGTCCCGACCGGATAGCTCCCTGGGCGGTGGGGTGTGGTAATGCAACACCACCTCCCCGGAGAGGAAGTAAAGCCGTCTTGACCCATAGGAGAGTGGACTGCGGACACTTTAAACGCAGCGTTATCGGTCGACCGGACGTCCCTCAGAACCAGGAGGGAGGTTCCTGGTGCGCTTCCACGCGGTTTGGAGCCTAGGCTCTGGTCCGTGTGGGGGAGTACTGGGGGCATTATGAGTGCAAACTCGACGACCCACCTACACCATCTCCAAAGTGACGTTATTAGTAACAGTTGTAATTTTTTTTTTGTGGATTACTTGATGCGGCCCACTCTCATTCAGACACTACCTCCTGCGGTCCCCCCCCCTGATGTTTTGAGTTTGAGACCCTTGATCTAATGAATACTCTGGATTTTACCATTTTAATATAAAATTAATTTAAAATGCTATACATTTTTTTTTTTAAATTAGTATGGTAGGAGAAAATTTGGCAAAAATTGGTGTGGGGGGGGGGGAATTAATGCAAAATATTTTTTAAAACAAGGCATCTAAAAATTGTGGTTCTAAAAGATCGCTTAATTTGTTTTCAAAGATCGTTTAGTTGGTTGTTATTGATCGGTTAGTTTGTTCTTAAAGATCGGTGAGTTTGTTCATAAAGATCGTTTAGTTTGTTGTTAAAGATCGTTTAGTTTGTTCTTAAAGATCGCTTAGTTTGTTGTCAAAGATCGTTTAGTTTGGTGTTAAAAATCGTTTAGTTTGTTGTTAATATCGTTTAGTTTGTTGTTAAAGATCGTTTAGTTTGTACATAACGATTGTTTAGTTTGTTGTCAAAGATCGTTTAGTTTGTTGTTAAAGATCGTTTAGTTTGTTGTTAAAGATCGTTTAGTTTGTTGTTAAAGATTGTTTAATTTGTTGTCAAAGATCGTTTAGTTTGTTGTTAAAGATCGTTTAGTTTGTTCTAAAAGATCGCTTAATTTGCTCTTAAATGTCGCTTAGTTGTTGTTAAATATCGCTTTCGCTGAGTATTAATTGACCAAAAACCTGAGTCACTTTCGGCCGGAGAGCCGAAATTCTAAGTCAATTTCAGCCGAAAAAGAAGAAAAACCGAAAGTTAACTTTTCTCTTTCGGCTGAAACCGAAATTAAGCCGAAAGTTAACTTTTCAGTCTCAGCCGAAACCGAAACTTGGCCGAAAGTCATAAAATGCCCACTTTCGTCGCCGAAACCAAAGCCGAAATTCGGACGGTCTCCAATGAACACTACATTTAAAAAAAACTCCAATTTTGCGACGGCGTCGACCTGAAAAAAAGTAAAACTTACAATCTCTCTTGGGTAGCACTTGGGGCAGCACTGACCAGGCACGTCGACGGTGTCTCCGGGGCAGGACGGACAGCCAGCGTAGGCGCACTGAACCTCACCGCCCTCTGCGCAGTAGCAGTAGGCGCACGGGTTAGGGTTAAAGCTCTCACCAACCTGAGATACCAAACTTGATTTAGGGCGCATGGTGAAATTAAAACAAAGCATACATTTCACTGCTGCTGCCTTTTTCAACTAAATCGGATTGAAAGCCGACCACTCGTGCATATTGACATCATTTTTTCCACCGCTTTGTAATTCCGTTAAACTATAACGAAATACTAATTCTCAAATATTTCGCCTCTTAGTAGTAATCAGAAACGAAAAATGCGATTGTTGAGTTCTACCAAATATAATGATCAACTAATATCGAACTTTTTAAAAGGACGTAAATTTTGATTAAGTGGCGTTCATCTATTTTCAGATTAAACATTTTTTTTTTTTAAACTTTCTTCTAAAGCAATACTACTATTAATGACTTTCAAAATGGGATCATGAACTACTAAAATTTAGAGTTCAATTATTTTATCAAGAATAAGAGAGTTCAACATTTTTTAGCTTCTTCTTCTTCTATTTGCTGAGCTCCCCCTATCAATGTATTGATCATTCTGGCTCCTTTAATAATACTAATAATTTTTGAACAAATGGTATCTGATTATTAATTTATTTGTTTTCACTATTAGGATATTGAGACATTCATAATGTTTTTTTTGCTTTAAATTTTATCTCTCTACAAAAAAAAAAAAAAAAAAAAAAAAAAAAAAAAAAGTTATGAACCTCTACATAGTTAAACTTACTTGATACGTCTTGCCGTTTTCCACGCAATAGGTAGGCTGCAGTATGGGATCAGTATAGAAGAAAAAACAGTAGTTGAAAGCCAGTTAAAATTTTAAAATTTACAATGGCAATTAAATAAAAATATTTTTAAAATCTTAAAGTTAAAAAAAAAAATATGTGTAGATTTGTCGCCTCAACAGTTCCTTTTGATAGATTGTTCCAGTCCCTGATTGTCTTGGGCAGGAATGAGCAGCTCCTATACTGGCTTCTTGCTGGTATGAGCCTGAATTGTCTGTCATGGCCTCGTCGCTGTCTATGGGGGAGAGGGACAAGTTTCTGTTTAATACTGGAACAGTGGACCACAAGCCCATTATTTATCTTGTACATCATGGAGAGCCTGGATTGTCGTCGTCGTTTCTCCAATGGTGAACAGCCTAGTGTTTCTAGCATGCTGCCAACACTAGAGGTATTCCTGTAGCGGTTTAGGACAAAGCGTGCTGCTCGTCGCTGGACCGCCTCCAACCTGTGAATGCTCTTCTGGGTAAATGGGTCCCAGACTGAAGATGCATAATCTAAAATCGGACGGATAAAGGCTTTATATGCTCTTTCTTTCACACAGGAGTTGCCAATCTTTAGATTTCGCCTTAAGAACCCTTTAATATGCTCGTCCCAGCGGACCTCTCTTTGAATGGTAACACCCAGGTACTTTACGGAGGAAACTTGCTCAAGAATATGGCCGTGCAGTTTGTATTGGTAGTGTAGAGGAGTACAACTTCTAGAGACTGATAGTGTCTGGCACTTGGCAGGGTGAAATTCCATGTCCCAGCTCATCTCCCACTCAGCTAACAGATTGAGATCCTGTTGTAGCTGGTCCTGGTCAGATCTGTTGGCGATCGTCCTATACACTGCTGTGTCATCTGCGAACAGTCTTGCCTGTGATGTCGGTTTCTCGGGTAGGTCATTAATGTACGCTAGGAACAAACAGAGGCCCAGGACTGATCCCTGGGGGACCCCTGACTTCACATCGACAAAGGAGGAGCTTGTACCTCCAACCACTACTGCTTGGCGTCGGTGGCTGAGGAAGCTAGAGATCCATGTTTTAGTGGTGCCTTGAATCCCAAATCTCTGGAGTTTGTGTAGAAGCAAACTATGATTCACCCGGTCAAATGCTTTTGCGAAGTCCATTACTAGCACGTCAGTCTGCTTGTTGTTCTCCAGATTGGTCATCAGGTCTTCTACAAATTCGAGAAGCTGGGTCTCACATGATCTATTGACTCGGAAGCCATATTGACAGTCATTGAGTATATTTTGGCTTTCAAGATGCTTCATGACTGTGCTTACGATTATGTGCTCCAACAGTTTGCAGATCACGCTGGTGAGGGATATCGGACGATAGTTGGCGGGGTCGGAATGCTCCCCTTTCTTGTAAATTTCTGTTATGTTTAATATCAGTGTTAGGTTTATATGAAGACCGACCAGTTGCCTCTTGAGTGTATTCAGTAACTGGCGCCATAGTATAGTACGAAAATCCATTGCCGCGTGGTGGATTTGACCAAAGGGTTTTTCCTAGTTGTAATGAAAATACTGCAAATTTTAAACAAAATGTTGCCACTTAGGCTTTGACATCGATCTGTATTTAAATCTAAGCTAAAAGTGAAAGACTGTCACCTTTTCGGGTGTCCTTGGCGTGAAGGGTATGCAGTAAGGGCAACACTGGCCGGGCTCTTGGACTACTTCTCCCTCGCAAGGAAAACAGTCAGCATAAGCGCATTGTGGTTCACGACCACCCTCTGCACAGTAGCAATAAGCGCAGGGGTCTGGCGAGAAGGACTCCCCCACCTGAAAGTTTAAACAAATGTTAGGACAAGATATGTTTAAGCTTAGCAAAAAAAGACGGAACAATTAAAATTAAGTTTCGGCTAAACGCCTTCTTCGGCAGACAATTCAAAATAAGAAATAACATAATTGTTGGAAATTAAATGTTTAAGTGTGCCTAAGATCACTATTCAGCTCTCTCAGTCTCTCTGTGTAAAAAATTTAAAAGTTATTCATGATTATGTTATTAATGATCTAATTAGTTTGCCACACGCACAAAGTTGATAAAAAAAATTTAATAGTAGATTTTGAAATTATTATCTCTTTAAACTTGCTGGATAAATCCCATTTTCCATCGAGTTGTGATAAAATGATAAAACGATATAGTTTCTATCTTTAGTGAAAGGGTAAAGGTAAAGTAAAACAGCTCTGATGGTCTGAATTTGGAAAAAGCTTTGTCGATGTATATGTTGTTATCATTATGTCTTAAATCCTACTCTAAATACTTATCTTGAAGAAGAATACCCACCGAATATTGTTTTCCTTCGTATTCACAATAGCCAGGTGTAGTGCTTGGCTGTTGTTACAATATGAAACAATACGTTAATTAATGATTTGCTTTTTAAGTAATAACCATTTCCAATTGCTACCAGAAAAGAAAACACATTTCTCATGTAGGCTTAGACAATTTTTTTTTTCATTTTAGAAAGACAAAAAACAACAACAAAAAAAGCAATTTAATTGACAAATTTATTTCAAATCTGAAGATTCATGGATGAAATAAATACAATTATTAAATTAATTAATTTTGTTTTCTTTAATTTTCTGAATCAATTAACAAAGCAATATCTTAAACTCGTTTAAAATATAGAAAAGAAATTGAGCCACAAAACAATAAATGTAATTGATCTAAAAATTAAAATATTTATATCAGTCTTTTTTCAAAAAGAGACTAAAAAGCCTCTATTTGCACACGATTGTTGACCAACTCGACCTGAGATTGCTGGATCTTAATTAATGCTAGCGTCGCCCGAGTCATCTACTAGGAACATAAGAAAATAAATTAAGTTTGAGGCAAACTCTCTTGCCATCTGTTTCTTTAGTCCTAGTTTTTTCTTTGAATCACGCGTTAAACAGTCGAACAAATACACACAAAAAAAAAAAAAAACTATACGAAAATACTTAGTACTTGCTTCAAAGACGATTGAAAACGTCTTTATTTTATATATTTTAAAAAAAATGTAGCTTCATGAAATAAATAATGTTGCTGGTACGTACGTCAGCCAGCTTCCTTTACTAGATGGATATTTCCATTGTTGTAGTGCAGCCTGTGTCTTGATCTAATTTCACCTCAAAGTAAAGCTAAAGCTTCCACCTCAACCATCCCTCCTTTTTAAACAAAAAAATTTCGTTGATCTCATCCTTTAAATGTGCGGTGCCAAACCTTTTATTCGCCCCTCCCTCCCTCGACTGGGAAAAGGTTGTTTACGTTCGAAACATGCTCTATTTATTATAAAGAATACGATCAGATTTCTAGAATTTATGTTCAGGAGGGTTCTAACTTACTCATTTATACATATATATATATATCGGTCGCTGTCTTAGGAGAGATTTTTTTTTCTCTATTTTTCCTAAACATTTACGAAACGTAACATACGTTCACAATTTTTTTCTTTATGTGTGTGTGTAAAATAATATTTCTATTGTTTGAGGATTGTACTTTTCTTTTACTTTGTGCTGTAATTTTAAATATATTTTATTTCTGTATGTAACATTTTTTATTCTTTAAATAAGTTGACTATGATAATTAAACTCTATACTGTTAATAACTCAAGCTTTGGTATAGTTTTTATTTGTATTCACGGAAGATTAAGGGTAATTTAATCTTTTTTATATATATTTATATGTTCATCTCTCTTTAATTTTGAAGGAACATAATATGTGGTATGCCATAATACTAAGGCTTTATGATATTTATAAACCAGTTCAGACCCTCTACCTTCACGAGAAAGCAGGGATCGATCAGCTAGTATTAAATAAGAAAACAACAGTTGAACAAAATAATGGGAAAACCTTTAAGGAAAAAAAAAAGATAACTGTCAATAAGATTTTTGACCACGCTGACCTTACCGGCTGGAAGGGGGTCGTTTGGCAGACCGGACAGCACTGCCCAGGGACGTAGACTGAGTTTCCATACTCGCAGTACATGCATGACATCATGGCGCACATGTGCTCACCTCCCTCCATGCACCAGCAGAACGAGCACGGGTCAGGTGAAAACTGTTCATTGATCTGTTATCAACAAAGTGATAAACACCAATCATCAACTCATACGATATTCCCGTATACGGTAAGTTTGTTTTTGCTGTCTAAATAGCCAAGTTTCAGCTACGTGAGCCAAATTGGTGTAACTGTCAGGCACAGTGACACACGCTCGGTTCATTGGCGCTAAAGTTCATCAGTGCAACATCTCAAGAAATTTTGCCATTTTCATTTGGTTCCCTGAGGACCACATGCATTTTGTTCTTACTCACTTGAAAATGCACTGACAGAAGGCTGTTAAAAAGAAACTTGACGCTTTAAATTAAGTTAATGAGAAATTTGTTTTGGTGTACGTGAGCATTAAAATACTCAAAAATGTGTTATACTCACCGCGTACGTCTTGCCGTTGTAAGTGCAAACATTGGGTACAGTGCTGGTCGGTATTTCAGGGGTGGTAGTAGTAGGTGGTGTCGTCGTCGTCGTTGGCGTAGGTCGAGTTGTTGTTGTTGGAGCCTTTGTGGTCGTAGTTGGTGGTCTCGTCGTTGTTGTAGCTTTTGTCGTCGTTGTTGTAGCCTTTTTCGTCGTTGTTGTAGCCTTTTTCGTCGTTGTTGTAGCCTTTGTCGTCGTTGTTGTAGCCTTTGTGGTCGTAGTTGGTGGTCTTGTCGTTGTGGTGGACGGTTTCGTCGTGGTGGTTGGTGGTCTCGTCGTTGTTGTAGCCTTTGTGGTCGTAGTTGGTGGTGGCTTTGTCGTTGTCGTAGTAGCGTTAGCAATGGATGCTACAGTGCTTGACGGAATGATTGCGCCACTGCATACAGCTAAGCCTACCAGCAACACAACTAAACACATCTTGGCTGACATGGTGGACAGCAGGGAGACGTCAACGCGTCTATGACAAAGTATTTATACTGAACTCGATTTTTCACAAATTCCTAACATTGAATTATACAATTTTATTTTAATCAGGGATTCTAAAATTTTGGAAGAAACGATATAAAAATTATATTTATATATATATATATGATTTTTAACTTGACCTATTAGAAAACTGATACGACAATATTCACTTTTAGAGTTGGTTCCAAGTAAAATATCTGTTTGCGGACAGTGAACATTGATAAATCAGACAAAAGAAATATTTTAAACTCATTCGTGATTATATTTGTTGTTTAAAACATTAGTTACAGGAAGTTGCGGTACAAAAAATAAATAAATATTGGTTGCTTTAGAAGAGGTGGACATTCCCCGTGGTATGGCTGTCTCACATGGCGTTCAACGGGACAGGTCTGCCGCGTAGTTGTGCCAGGGCCTGATAACTACATATACGTAAAGTAAAACTATTTAAAAATTTATAACACACTCTTCCTGTTGCTCTTAGAAGCAGCCAGTCACTGGAGTCTTTCAAAACGGATCTGAAGACATATCTATTTCGCAAACACCTGCTGGGATGATGTTGTCTATCGAGCTATTATCTTGTGGATGTGTATTGGCCTGTGTTGTTTATGGTTCTTAGGTATCAAAGACTTAAAATGGGTAAATGGTACTCGTATATAGTTTTTGAAATTTTGCATTTTGTATTTTAATGTGGTATATAATAGGAAGTTTCATTTCTCTTTTAATATACTAGACTATGTACCGCTCTTCGAGCCTTTAGGGATGAAGCGTGATTTTCAAATAAACTTTATTATTATTATTATGATTATATTTGCCATTAAAAAATATTAAGAAGCCATTTTTTTGCTAGTCTAGCAAAATTTCCCTTTGAAATATCGTGAGAGCAGAAATATATATATAATTTTAAAAAAAAATTCCACACAAATTACGACTATCTCTTTATGCCATATATATAACACAAATTTTATATTACTTTTCAACAATTATTTTATTAAATGTATCATGTAATATTTTAAACATATTTTGATCGTTGACTTTAGAGGAGTAATATTATAATGTATTAACGGATTGCAAACCCAGATCTAAAAGAAAAAAAAATCAGTTTAAATTTCATCTGGTTTTTCAGTGTATCTTTGTAAACAAATGTGTACCACCTTTATAAAGGACAATTTTTGGTTATTTCCTGTTATGAAAAAATAAAGGACAGTTCACCTAAGATGCCTCCTGAGCGATAACGGGAACCGCTGACGATCACCTATATTGACCTCAAAGGGTTTTCCTAAATTCATTTAAGGATATATTTTTTTTGGTTACAAACTATAGAAATGGTAGGTCTGAGCTAATCCCGTACAGCTGTCGTAATGCTATAATTGTGTCGTTGTTATTTACCACGGAAGCATTATCCGCTCGAGTAAAAAGTTTGTAGGTTGTGGCTCTCGTTGTCATGGGTATGGCAGCCTAATTTCTACAGAGGATACAGCCCAGAGTGTCAACGACAAATTTTTTAAAGTGAACTGCGGCTGAAGCTGACCAACCAATGGACAAATGAAAACATTAGTTACAGGAAGTTGCGGAACAAAAAATAAATATTGTTTGTTTTAGAAGGGGTGACAATCCCCAACCATGGTATGGCTGTCTCACGGGGGTAAAACGGTACAGGTCGGCCGCGTAGTTGTGTCAGGGCCTGATATTTACATTTACGTAAATTTTACATATGAATTGGGTTTTGTTGACGAATAACCAGATGTGAAATAGCCTGGGTGAATTAAAGCGTTTCTATTTATAGGAGCGGACAATTTGTATTTTAATTATTTTATTTGTTGTTTTCTATTTAAATTATTTTTTTTTAAAATTAATAATATATAATAATAAATTAATAAAGAGGGATGATATAAAACGGGCTGAGAATCATTGAATTGCCTACGCATCTATTGACATCCGATAGACTATGTTCCTAAATCGATATCATCTGTTTTCAAGTATTTCTATAATAGGATTAGCGATGAGGACCGACCAACAATTGCACGGAAAGTATCCTGTACGATTATCACACTTCTCAATAGATTTTCAAATGTGTCCAAGACTTAAACCTTATTTCTTAATTTTAAAAATCCAAGAAGCAGATTCATTGTAGATAAACGAAGTTGTTGTTTTTTTTAAAGTGATTTGGAGGTTTCGCGTTGAAAATATTGATTAAACATAAAATATCCCATCTTCCATGTCCCATCTTTCATGTTCCATCCTCCATGTCCACTCTTCCAAGTCCCATCTTCCATCTCCCATCTTATATGTCCCATACTCCATGTCCCATTTTCCATGTCCCAGCGCCCCTGTCACAGCGCCCATGTCCTAGCGCCCATGTCCCAGTGCCCATGTCCCATGTCCCATCGCCCATGTCCCAGTGCCCATGTGCCAGCGCCCATGTCCAGTGCCCATATCCCAGCGCCCATGTCCCAGTGCCATTGTCACAGATCCCAATGTCACTGCTCCAATGTCACAGATCCCATTTCACATCTCGAATGTCACAACTCCCATGTTGCAGCTTCCATGTCACATCTCCCATGTCACAGCTCATGTGTCCCAGCTACAATGTCACAGCGGGTCACATCTCAAATATCCCAACACCCATGGCAATCTCTCATGTGGCATCTCTCACGTAACACATCTTATGTCACAACACCTATGTCACAGCTGATGTATCGAAATACATCATGCACTGATCTAAACCTCACATATTGTTATGCGGAGCAAGCCTTTTTGAGATGTCCCTTGACTGATTAATAAACTATGTCATTGTAGTGTCCTAACATAACCAACCTTGATATCCATCACACATCATTAAAATGATGTCAGGGTGCGCATAAATCGAACACAACTGTGATTCACTAATCTCGGAAGGCACGAGAGATGTCTAGGGCTATACTGTAGCAGAGTTCCCAAATGAACAAACTAAACCAGGCGTGTTCCGACTAGTTCTGATTCTAAAGCCTGGAGTAGGAATGTTGCTGCTGCATAGACTGAATCCAGACTGCACAAAGGAAATCAGATGATACGGCTGCCCAACGATGGTTTCAGAGCACTGCGACGCAAATATTTATTTGATTCCAATAAAATCGTTTGGCCTCCCCCCCCCCCCGCCCCATCAAAAAAGTTTAAAATACGGCAGTAGTGTTTCCCAATCCTTTACGCGTACGCAATCAAAATAAACAAAAGACAAGGTCACACGTTTGATCACGTTGGTATCTTCGTTGCGGTAGTCTGATATGGTCAGCACGCTGCGTGGTAAAATCGAAAAAAAAACAGCCAAAAAAAAAACAAAACAGAAGAAAGTAAAAAGTCCATTCTACAGCAAGGAAAGCTTGGCAGATGAGTGTCCCTTCACACGCGAAATTGTTTTTGACTAAGCCTTCCATATATAAATTTCGTCAAAAATTCTTCTAGTTTCTAGGATTTGCTATCAGCTGTGAAGGGGCCGCGTGAACCTAACTTTGTTACGTTAAGTAGAGTAAAATAAATAATAATTTTAAAAAATAGTTGATATTTATCATCATTAAGATAAACGGGGTGCAATCTGATTGTTTTAAAGTTATCAGGAAGGCTCCTTACACGACAGAAAATAATTTTTTAACACATATGATCGTTAAATAATTATTTGATAGTTTACATTATTTTTTACAAATCCGCAAATAAATTGTCACAAATTATTTCATGAGTTTACCCTAAAAATGTATTTAATTTTTAAAAAAAGTTTTATTCACAGGCAAATTTTATAATCATATTCTTATTGTTGTTTGCTCGTTCAGGGGGCATTTCACTTTGGCCGCTAGCTTTTTGACGTCTTCACTGTAATGAGATGGCCAGACCTCCTATGGTTCATTTTCTGTAGTGTAATACTGTCGGAGAACAGGGTGGATATAGCATTATTAAAAAAATCTTCAATCGAAAAATATTTCATTGTTCAATACTTCAAGGATAAAATCCTTAAGTACACAGAGCCAAGCATCTTGGAATCTGAATGGTCAACCAAAGCAGGATTTTATTACAAGTCAAAGAGTAATCTTCCCCCCACCCCCATCGCATCTAAATGAATCAATCAAATTTAAAATAAAAAAACAAGAAATAATGAAATTATCTCACACAGTTAAAACAAGTCAGTTCTTTAAATTACGTCACACACCACTGAAAATAACTTGTGATAGCGTTAACTGTGTGACTCCGCAAATATTTAGTGTTTACACTGAATCCCAGTGCCTCTACGTATATTAATGACGCTCACTCGACCCCCCCCCCCCACCCCCACTAAATTTAGTAGGATACATGCAAATATTAACTTTTAAAAAAAAAACTACAACCTAACCGTGACGTCATCCTCTTACCTGCTCGGTGACTTCCTCTGTTTGACCAGGTGTTTCATACGACGGGGTGTTTCGTATTTCTGTTTCGGGTGGACACTTTGGGCAGCATTCATCTTTCACGAAGTAGTAATCGTCACACTCAGGTCGCGCGCAGTCCCTGATGTAACATTTGGGGCCGGAGCTTTCACACATGCACTCAGTGCAAGCATCTAACGTATAGCCTTCACCGATCTGAAGAGAACACAGTGCTACCAATGGGTCGGCTTGGAAAACTCACAAAAATTTTACTGTATACATTATATTATTTAGAAGCAGATTTTATAAAGTGTGTGTTTATAATGCATGGTATTCGGGTTGCCTAATATCAAATTGATGTGTGGTTACATTTTACAGATAAACATTTTTGTTTTAAAAAAATGAAAAAGACAAAGGAAAAAAAACACATATATGAAATAAATAAATGAATAATTGACATTCAAAATAGAAATACAAATGACGTCCATACTTCTGTTCAATTCAGATGAAAAAAAATATTTAAAAAATTAATTAACAACCCTTAAAAACAAAGTTTTTCGATGAAATCCTTTAACATGAATTTGTTATAATTTTATTTTATATTAATATTCTAATTTCCCTCCCTTTTT